CGACAGTTCATTTACTAACTTTTCTTCTCATTTTCACTCTTTATAAACAGTGATAAAACAATAATTAGCACTCTATCCTCGTGGGAACGATAATTTGGGCATTAATACTCCCTTTATTACTTGATGCGTGCACTTGCGCACTTGGGTTGGAACTACGGGGCGAATCTGTGTTCTGCAAGAACAGAGGAACGTCCCCTATCAGAACTTATATTTTCCACCATCAGCAAACCACCCAACAAGTTTTTGGCGCCGTTGACGGGGACAGAAATACTAACTGTTGTTCTTATCATTGTTTTCTAACACATATACTGTATATCTGCCTTTACTTTTATATTTTTTTCTCTTTATCACTGAATCTGCTGTGCATATATATACCCTGTGTTATTGGTTTATGAGTGAAGAGTTTGAAACAGACTCTAACCACTCCATTGAAGTACTTGAGTTTCTCTTTGATCCTGAGCCAGAACGCACACTCCATAGGAGAAGAAGGAACCTCAGAGAAGGATTTCCTGAAAACATGGCTGATCACAATAATAACAATGAAGAGGTTCCCCCTGAACAGAACTTCAGAACTTTGGCTGCTCCTTTCAGGAACAGACCAGACATGGGAGTAATCCTCCCTCCTGTAGCACCCAATTTTGAACTAAAACCTATCATGTTTCACATGATTAAGGAAGCAGGGGTCTTCAATGGACTCCCTGCAGAAGATCCTTACATACACCTCACCACATTCCAAGATATCTGTGACAATTTTAAAGCTGAGGGTGTAACAGAAGAGAGCATGAGAATGAGGTTGTTCCCTCTCTCCTTAGGCTTAAAAGCTAAAACATGGATGAAAGCTCTCACCCCTGGGTCAATCCACACATGGGAAGAACTCTCTAACAAGTTCATAGAGAGGTTTCTTCCAATGTCTCGACAAGCTGATGTTAGAGCAGAAATCTCTAACTTTAGAATGTTTTATGGAGAAAATCTCTATGAAGCATGGGAGTGATACAAGGACATCATAAGAAAATGTCCAAACCATGGGGTAGAAAGTTGGGGAGTGTTATAATCTTTCTATAAAGGACTTGATCATACTTCTCAGTCTCACTTAGATTTTGCTGCAGGAGGATATTTTTTTACAGTAACACTTGAATCAAGATATGAAATCATAGAAAGGACTGCTGAAAGATGTCTCCAATGGCCAATAGACAGAGTGAGCCCAGTGAGGAAGCCAGGTATGCTAGAACTAGATAAACAAACTGCCATGGAAGCCCAGCTGGCATCACTCATGAATGAAGTGAAGAACCTAAAAGCTGACCAAGAAGCACCAAGGATGGAAGTCTTACAACTCACAGCAACTAAAACAGAACCATGCTCAGCCTGTGGTGACCTTCATGACTCAACAGACTGCCCATCCACTGCATTGGTGTGTTATGCAAAAAAATTTGGCAATAGGAACTTCACCAGAGACAATCAACAAGCAGGACGAAATACACATTCAAGCCCTGGAGGAACTATCATTAAGGATAAGAACCACAACACCCAATGGAGGCCACCCATTAACCAGAGACCATTCAACAACAATCAACAGCAGTATCAGCAAGGTAGCAGCAGTGGAACGTCTGAACAAAGAAGAAACAACTACATTCCGTTCCACAGAGATGACCAACGCATCAACACCCTGGAAAATTATGTCAAGTAATATGTCACCAGGAATGATGCAGTGGTCAGGAACATTGAGTCCCATCTGGGGCAGATTGCTGCCAACCTTCAAACCAGAACACCAGGATCACTACCAGGGGACACTGAGGTCCCCTCAACCATTTCTGAAACACCTTGAGAGGTAAGTACCATGTCTAGCTAAAGACATTAAACTAAGCGCTGACTGGGAGGCAACCCAGTAGATACATTTGCTCTCTGACAAATAGCAAAGTTTTGGGGTGGTTATCCATAACCACACAGCTCCCAAAAAGGAGGGAACGTCTGATGTTCCTCTCCAAAAAGTACAAATAAAGTACGTTCCAGGATCGTAGTTTTGGGGTGGTCCCTAACCACAGACCTCCACAAATGAAAAGGAGAAACCCTCCTATTTATCTTAGCTTAGTTTGTTTTCAGTTCTGTTTTAATTTCTTTTTCTTTTCGTTCCCTTGTAATTAATCTTTTCGCAATGAAAAAGACTTTTTTTTTTTTATCAAACTTTTTGGTATATACATGCATTTCAGTTATAGTATTAAGAAAGCCCCAATTCTTTTGGATTAACTAACATACATGAAACACAAAGTCACTGACTAATCATGCTTGTTCTTTCTCTGAGTACTTGAAAATAGAAACAGTGCAGGGAATTTAATCCTCAGATTTTTGAAAGAAGCTGATCTATGTAAACTCAAACTGGTAAGGAACGGAAAAATACCAAACACCTACTTCTGAGAGTGTTCCTGAGGTGTAACTACAATGAAACTTCTCAGCTTGCCTTGATGCTGTAAGTACTGCTGAAGAGAGATGAATTCTGCTGTCAAGGATCAAAACAGAATCACACACTCACCTCACCTCCATCATACACCATCTGGTCAATCAGAAAGAACAAGGAACGTACTAAACAATGAACAAAAAAGGGACAGAAGAAAAACAAAGAAAAAGGGGAAGAGCCATTCAAAAGAATTCAAGAAAAACCAGAAAACCTTCCTCTAAAGGGGGGAAAAGGTTCAAGAAAAGGTGTTCCCTCAAAATAGAAAAGTCCAAGTTCAAAGGCACAAAAGCTAAACATTCCTTGATCCGACAAATCAGGCCACCATTTCTTCCATAGTTCCATACACTTACCCATCAAAGAAATCCTTGGAACGGAAGACAGCTGTACTTCATAGGAACGCAGCAGAAAGGCAAGTTTTGAAGAATCACATCCAGGAATGGACAAAGCAAACACCAACCCATGAGTGACAGTGAGACGAGAGATCAACAACCTTCTCTTATCTGGGGACAGAATACTCTTACTGTTTACTATGGAGAGTAATTCATTTTCTCAAAAGTTCATGGTTGCTCACTGGCTCAAGTTCCTTTCTGTTATGCTATTCTTTTAAATTGGGCAAACCAATACAATATTTCTGAGTTGTTTGAGGACAACCAACAGTTTAGTTTTGGGGTGTTTGATGGGACGTAAATTCATTCCCATCTAAGCCCATTTTGATGGCAAAATACCATACGTTCCCTCATCTGATGAGCAACTTCAGCATGAAAATCACTTGTTCTACACATTTGTGACAAAAACACAGTGGGGGAACGGATGGTAACGTATTCCTCTAAAATATATTAAAAGGGGAACAGACTTAGACGCATTTAATGCACCTGCTCCATTCATTTAATGCTTCTGTACACTTTGCAGGTAACGTAGAGTTAAAGACTTCTAAAAAGCAAGGCGGTGCACCAACTGAGTAACTGGAAACGTGAAGAGCAGGGAATCAAGAGTTCTCATTGGCTGAAAACAAAAGCAAAACATGGGAAGGCTTGCAAACTACGGCTAATCATCACCAAACCTTGTTCCATCCAGCAAATTACGCAGCTTCCATACTCTGCTGCCACCGTCCCGTCCCCTCATTCAAGCAACTTGCTCCAAAGGATTTACAAGCTTGCCACTCTCCTTCCATCTATAAATAGGACCACCCTCATACAAAAACATCATCGAATTCTGGAGGGATTAAAGTCCAGAAGGAAGAAGATCACCTAGTAGTAGTAGTAGTTAGTAACTTAGTTTAATTTTCAGTTGTAACTGTAGTTAAGTGACAACCCCTTTTCTCTTCTCTGTAAACAACCATCAAGACTCCTCACGAGAAAATACCCATCTTTCTCCACTTTATGTTTCTTTTTGTAAACTGTCTTTTAAATTAATATAAGTTTTTTTCTCTTCGTTCCAATCGTTATCTCTTGACTGAATCTTGGGTCTATGTGATCTCAGTTGAGAATAATTATGTTTAAACTATCAGCCATGAGCTGAACTATCTGTGGAACGGGTAAACTGTGAAACTCTTAAAGAACTGTTTTCAAAACTCTTGACCGAAGCTTTTTGTATTTCTTTGGCTAAGTAAGCTATATTCATTGTGCGCCAATGGAAATTGGGTACATACTGAGAAAGGAACTTCCATAAGGAAGGGATTTCAGACAGCTTAGCCATTGGGGGAAGGTACGTCATGGCAAAATCGCTACTGGTTACCTTAGGAATAAGGGGCCAACTCGTCCATTTTAAGGTTCTGAACTAAGTACCTGTTGGAGTCAAGGGAGCCATAGGAATATGGAAACTTTTGAGCCATCTAGACCATGAGCTGAGGAATCAGAGTTGGCAGGCAAAGAAACTGGGACAAAGCCAAAAGGTGCTAAGTCTTGAGCAGAGAAAACAACCCCTTAAAGAGTGAAGCAGTGAATCCGTTCCTTCTGTTAAATTGTTTTAACCACCACCCTGTTGTCTCTTGATTATAGTTATTCCTGTTTTAGTAGTTTTATTTTATTTCATTTAGCACTTATAAAAACTTCAATGATTGTTATCTCACCTTCTTCTAAACAGGAAGGATCACATACATAACGCAGTGAGCAACTGTTTGCCATCAGATTGAACCTACTGTTCCTGAGGAACGTTGTCAAGACAGTAGGGAACGTTTGACCCGACAGTTCATTTACTAACTTTTCTTCTCATTTTCACTCTTTATAAACAGTGATAAAACAATAATTATCACTCTATCCTCGTGGGAACGATAATTTGGGCATTAATACTCCCTTTATTACTTGATGCATGCACTTGCGCACTTGGGTTGGAACTAAGGGACGAATCTGTGTTATTCAAGAACAGAGGAACGTCCTCTATCAGAACTTATATTTTCCACCATCAGCAAACCACCCAACAACAGACTTGGCCGTAAAAGAGTTCTTTTGATTCTTGATGATGTTGATTCCATAAAAAATTGGTATCCCTGGCTGGAGGAGGTGATTGGTTTGGTTCTAGTAGCAGGATCGTTATAACTACAAGGGATAAAACAATGATATATAAGCGTGATATAGATGATGTTATCATTAAAAAATATAAAATGCAAGAGCTAAATGATGATGACTCTCTAGAACTCTTCTGCTGGCATGCCTTTAATATGAGTGGACCTGCAGAAAACTATGCAGGTGTTTCTAGTCGTGCAGTAAGTTATGCAAAGGGTGTTCCATTGGTTTTAAAAGTAATAGGCTCCAATTTGAAGGGTGGGAGCCTAGAGGATTGGGAAATGGAGCTGGACAAATATAAGAAGATTTCAAATGCTGAGTTTCAAGGTGTGCTTGAAATAAGCTACAATAGCTTGTCAGAGTTGAACCAGAAAACTTTCTTGGACATTGCTAGTTTTTTCAAAGGGGAGAGATGGGAATATGTTAAAAGGTTACTAAAGGTTTGTGATTTCTTTCCAATTATTCGAGTATTTGCAAGTAAAAGTCTCATAACTATTGATGAAAATGGTTGCTTGGAGATGCATGATTTAATACAAGAAATGGGTAGAGAGATTGTTAGAAAGGAGTCACCATCAAATCATGGTGACCGTAGTAGAATATGGTATCATAAAGAGGTTCTTCAAGTGCTTAAAGAAAATTCGGTATGAATCTCGTCTCTATTACTCTTACTTTTTTATACTTACCTTTATATGTTTTTGTAATATGACAAATGTGTTGGCAATCGACAATCACACAAAATCGAGAAAATAGAAAAAGAGATAAGAGTAGAAAGATTGACACGATGATTTACCCTGGTTCACCCAATTAAGGCTACGTCCAGCTTGTTTGTACTATATTCTCCTCACCACCACTCGTTACAAGTCACTCGGTTTACAAGGAAAATATAAATAGGATTAGAAAACCCTAACAGCAGCTATACATGGGCCCAAGCCCAAACTGCTAAGAAAATTACAATAAAACAGAGGCCCACATCAGTACATAGCCTTTACGGGACCCCAGTTGCCTTTCTGCTAACCCCGATAACTAGGGCCCGCATCAGCATGCGAAGTATGAGCTGATGGGACGTAAATTTGTTCCCATCTAAGCCCATTTTGATGGAAAAATACCATCTGTTCCCTCATCTGATGAGCAACTTCAGCATGAAAATCACTTGTTTCACACATTTGTGAGAAAAACACAGTGGGGGAACGGATGATGACGTAATCCTTTGAAAACATATTAAAAGGGGAACAGATTAAGAGCATTTATTACACCTGCTCCCTTCATTTAATGCTTCTGTTCATTTTGCAGGAAACGTGGAAACAACGTCTTCTAAAAGCAAAGGCGGTGCACCACTTAAGCACCAAGAATTGTAAACAGCAGAGAATCAAGAGTTCTCATTGGCTAAGAAGACAGCAAGGCATGGGGGACTGCAAGAAAACGGCTAATCATCAACAATAATTGACCCATCAAGCAAGTTGCAAGCTTCCAAACACTGTTGCCACCACCCCATCCCTTCAGTTAAGAAACCAACTACAAAGGATGTTACGAGACTGCCATTCCCTCTTCTGCCTATAAAAAGGACGTCCCAAACACGAAGACATCATCAAATTCCTTAGGAATAAAATTCCTGAAGAAGAGATCACCTAAATATTATATAGTAGTTTAATTTTGTATAGTTGTAGTTGTAGTTAAGTGACAACTCTTATACGTTGTTCTGTAACATTCACTTGAGACTCCTCACGAGCATCAACCATCTTCTCCATTTTATATTTTGTTGTAATCTTTCTTGTTTCATTTCAATATAAGTGTTGCTTCTTTCCTTTCCACTCGTTATCTCTGAACTGAATCTCGGGTCTATGGGACTTCAGTTTAGAATAATTATGTTTAAAGTATCAGCCATGGGCTGAAATATCTATGGGACGGATAAGCTGTAAAACTCTTAAAGAATTATTTCCAAAACTCTTGACTGAAGCTTTTTGTATTTATTTGGCTAAGTAAGCTATATTCACTGTGTATCGATGGAAATTGAACATATACTGAGAAAGGAACTTCCTTAAGGAAGGGATTTCAGACAACTTGGCCATTGGGGGAAGGTAGTGTTATGGCAAAAACACTATTGGTCACCTTAGGAATAAGGGGCCACTTCGTCCAATTTAAGGTTCTGTAATGAGTACCTGTTGGAGTCAAGCGAGCCATAGGAATATGGAAACTTGTGAGCCATCTAGTCCATGAGCTGAGGAATCAGAGTTGGCAGATAAGAAACTAGGACAAAGCCAAAAAGTGCTAAGTCTTGAGCAGAGGGAATAATTATTTAAGAATGGAGCAGTGAATCTGGTCCTTCTGTTAAACTGTTTTCAAAACCATCCACCTTGTTGTCTCTTGATTATAGTTATTACTGTTTTATTTTTACTTTGTTTAATCTTGTATCTATCAAACTCCATTGATTATTATCACACCTTCTTTTAAACAGGAAGGATCACATATATAACGCAGCGAGCAATTGTTTGCCATCAGACTGAACTTACTATTCCTGAGGAACGTTGTCAAGACAGTAGGGAACGTCTGACCAGACAGTTCAATCACTAACTTTTCTTTTCATTTCCATTCTTTATAAAATAGTTTAAGACAATATTTAGAGTTCTATCCTCGTGGGAATGATAATCTGGGCATTAATACACCCATTATTACTTGATGCGTGCACTTGCGCACTTGGGTTGGAAGTAAGGGAACAACTCTTTTTTCTGTTGCTAATTTAGAACAGACGAACGTCCCCCAACAGAATATATATTTTTCCACCATCAGCAAACCACCGAACAAGTTTTTGGCGCCGTTGCTGGGGATAGAAACACTAAATTTTGTTCTTATTACTATTTTAGTACATACTCTGTATATTTTGTTTTTTATTTTCTTGTCACTAACTCTGCTGTTTATATAACTTGTGTTTATGGTTTATGAGTGAAGAGTCTGAAACAGATTCTCATCACTCTACTGAGATACCTGAATTCTTCTTTGATCCTGAACCAGAACGTACCCTCCATAGAAGAAGAAGAAACCTCAGGGAAGAAAATTTTGAAAATATGGCTGATCACAATAACAATGAAGATATTCCCCCTGAGCAGAATTTTAGAACTGTGGTTGCTCCTTTCAGGAACAGACCAGAGAGGGGAGTAATCTTCCCTCTTGTAGCACCCAATTTTGAACTCAAACCTGTCATGTTTCACATGATTAGGGAAGCTGGAGTCTTCAATGGACTCCCTGCAGAAGATCCGTAGACACACCTCACAACCTTTCAAGATATTTGTGATAACTTTAAAGCTGAGGGTGTGACAAATGAAAGTATGAGAATGAGGTTATTCCCTCACTCCTTAGGCTTAAAAGCAAAAACATGGATGAAGACTCTCACCCCTGGATCAATCCACACGTGGGAGGAACTCTCTAACAAATTCATAGAGAGGTTTCTCCCTATGTCCCGACAAGCTGATGTGAGAGTAGAACTCTCTATCTTCAGGATGTTTTATAGAGAAAATCTCTATGAAGCTGGGAAAGATACAAGGACATCATCAGAAAATGTCCAAACCATGGGGTAGAGAGTTGGGGAGTGTTACAATCTTTTTATAAGGGACTTGACCATACTTCTCAGTCACATTTAGATTTTGCTGCAGGAGGATATTTTTTTACAGGAACTCTTGAATCCATGTATGAAATCATAGAAGGCACTGCAGAAAGAAGTTTCCAATGGCCAATAGACAGGGTGAGCCCAGTAAAGAAGCCTGGCATGCTAAAACTAGACAAACAAACTGCCATGGAAGCTCAGCTAGCCTCACTCATGAATGAGGTGAAGAACCTGAAAGCTTATCAAGAAGCACCAAGGATGGCAGTCTTACAACTCATAGCAGCTGAAGCTAAACCATGTTCAACCTGTGGTGACCTTCATGACTCAACAGACTATCCATCCACTGCATTGGTGTGTTATGCAGAAAACTTTGGCAACAGAAACTTCACCAGAGACAATCAGCAAGCGGGATGCAATAACAGTTCAAATCCTGGAGGAACTATCACCAAAGATCAGAACCATAATCCCCAATGGAGACCACCCATAAACCACAGACCATTCAACAACCAGCAGCAGCAGTACCAGCAAGGCAGCAGCAGTGGAACGTTTGAACCAAGAAGAACCAATTACGTTCTGTTCCATAGAGATGACCAACGCATCAACACCCTGGAAAACTATATCAAAGAATATGTCACCAGGAATGATGCAGTGGTCAGGAACATTGAGTCCCATCTGGGACAGATTGCTGCCAACCTTAATACAAGAATACCAGGATCACTACCAAGGGACACTGATGTTCCCTCAACAGCATCAACAACCTCACCAAAAGAAGTACTTACTTTGCCCAGTTCCCCTTTAGAGAAAATCAAAGATGTCACCTTGCGAAGTGGAAAAACCACTACACAACCCACCACTCTGCATGAGGAAGAGAAACAGAATAAAGCATCTGAAGCAACCTCAGAAGAAGAACAACAACAACCAGCCACAGATGAGCAGAACCTATAGCTTGGCAAAGAAGCTGAAACCAACGAAAACCAGGTGGACAAAAGTCAAACAATCAGTCCCACTCAAAGCAGGAAAATACCAGCAAAAATTTTGTTCCCTCAGAGAACAAAGAAGCAACAAGACGATAAGCAGTTTGGAAAGTTCCTGGACATTCTAAAACAGCTCCACAGCAAAATAACTCTGGTGGACGCACTAGAGAAAATGCCCAGGTACGTGAAATTCATGAAAGATGTTCTCTCGAAAAAGAGAGGGATAACAGAATATGAGACTGTAAAAATGACACAAGAAAGTTGCTAGCATTTGGGCAAACTCCCACCTAAGCTTCAAGATCCAGGAAGCTTCACCATTCCTTGCATCATAGGGAACACATACCAAGGGAAAGCCTTGTATTATTTAGGGGCAAGCATCAATCTCATGCCTCTCTCTATTTTTAAGCAATTGTCCACTGGGCCAGCAAGACCAACCACTGTAACATTACAAATTGCAGACAGATCCATCATCAAGCCAGAAGGAAAAATTGAAGATCTACTAGTTAAAGTAGACAAATTTATCTTGCCTGCTGATTTCATCATCTTGGATTACGAAGCTGATGTTGACGTTCCCATCATTCTGGGTAGACCATTCCTGGCAACTGGAAGAGCGGTTATCAACGTGCAAAAAGGGGAACTGACCATGAGAGTTCATGATGACGAAATCAAATTCAATATCGTAAAAGAAATGAAGTTCCAGGATGAAGACGAAGATTTGGAAGAGTGTTCTGCAATCACTTTGTTAGACAACCAGTTCAGCAGAAAAACAGAGGAGGAAAAACCTGAAGAAGAAGAAGGTCCACAAAAGGAGGAGCATAATTGCTATCTACAAGAAATAAGACCTGAACCTTTGTTGAGAACTGAAAAGGAAAAACAACTCAAACGACCCTCTTCAGAACACCCTCCTGATCTAGAACTAAACCCTCTTCCACAACACTTGAATACGCATACCTAGGGAACAATAACACCCTTCCTGTAATCATCTCATCATTCCTCACCAAGGAACAAGAAGAACTACTGATCAACAAGCTGAGGAAATACCAAGGAGCTATCGGTTGGACCATAGCAGACCATAAAGGTATCAGTCCCTCATTTTGTATGCATAAGATATTATTGACTGATCCTAACAGTTTTTCAGTGGAACACCAAAGGAGATTGAATCCTATAATGAAGGAAGTGGTTAGAAAGGAAGTCATCAAATGGCTAGATGCAGGGATCATATATCCAATATCTGACAGCAGTTGGGTAAGTCCTGTTCAATGCGTTCCCAAAAAGGGAGGCATAACAGTGGAATTAAATGAGAAAAATGAGCTAATCCCTGTAAGAAAAGTTACAGGATGGAGAATTTGCCAAGATTACAGAAAGCTCAATAATGCCACCAGGAAAAACCACTTTCCACTCCCTTTTACAGATCAAATGTTGGATCATCTAGCAGGTAAGGAATATTTCTCCTTCCTTGATGGATATTCTGGATATAATCAGATTGCTCTAGCACCAGAAGATCAACATAAAACCACCTTCACTTGCCCGTACGGAACGTTTGCTTTCAGAAGGATGCCTTTTGGGCTGTGTAGTGCACCAGCAACGTTCCAGAGGTGTATGTTCTCTATTTTTTCTGATCTAATAGGTGAAATAGTAGAAGTCTTCATGGATGACTTCTCAGTGCTAGGAACGTCATATGACCACTGCTTGGATAACTTAGAAAAAGTCCTCCAAAGATGTCTGTCCTCTAATTTGGTGCTTAACTGGGAGAAATGCCACTTCATGGTGAAAGAAGGAATCATCTTAGGACATAAGATTTCCAGAAAAGGACTAGAAGTAGATCAAGCCAAATTAGAAGCAATAGCAAAAATGCCACCACCAGTAAATGTCAAAACACTGAGATCTTTTCTTGGGCATGCAGGTTTCTACAGAAGGTTCATTAAAGATTTTTCCAAAATAACTAAACCTTTGTGCCATTTGTTAGAAAAAGATATGAAATTTGAGTTTAACTCTGATTGTCTGAAAGCTTTTGAATCCCTGAAAAACAAGCTTGTCACTACGCCTGTCATCCAACCTCCGGACTGGAACTTACCCTTTGAACTAATTTGTGATGCAAGTGTCCACGCTATTGGGGTAGTTCTGGGCCAGAGGAAAGAAAAATTCTTTTGTAGCATATACTATGCCAGTAAAATGCTGAATGAAGCTCAGGTGAACTATACAGTCACTGAAAAGGAGCCAATGGCTGTAGTATATGCCTGCGAAAAATTTAGGCCTTACATTTTGGGATCAAAAATTACTATCCATACTGATCTTGCATCTCTCAAGTACCTTTTTTTTCCAAAAAAGAAGCAAAACCAAGATTGATAAGATGGATCCTACTACTGCAAGAATTCAATTTGGAAATCAAAGAAAGAAAAAGATGTGAAAACCAAATTGCAGATCACTTGTCCAGATTAGAACACATTGAAGTGGGGCTACCAATCAAGGAAACGTTCCCTGACGAACAATTGTTTGTCATCAATCACCAAGAAACAGACGTTCCTTGGTTTGCTGACATAGCCAACTTCCTTGCAGCAGGACTAGAACCATACGAGGCAAACAAAATGCAGAAGAAAAAATTCTTTCATGATTGCAGGAACTATCTGTGGGATGAACCATTACTATTCAAAAGATGCGCAGATCAGATGATAAGAAGATGTGTTCCAGAAGAAGAGCAACCTCAAATTCTTCAACACTGCCATTCATCCCCATATGGAGGCCATTTGGGTGGAATAAGGACTGCCTCCAAGGTTCTTCAATCAGGGTTTTTTTGGCCCTCCCTCTTTAAAGACACACTTCAATTTGCTAAACAATATGATAAATGTCAAAGGGAAGGTAACTTAACCAAACAAAATGAAATGCCCCTCAATCCCATTTTAGAAGTAGAATTATTTGATGTTTGGGGCATTGATTTTATGGGTCCTTTTTCTCCTTCTTGTGGGAACAAATTCATATTTATGGTTGTAGATTATGTAAGTAAGTGGGTGGAAGCAGTTTCTTTACCCACTAATGATGCTAAGGTGGTTATAAAATTTCTAAAGAAAAATATTTTAACCAGATATGGGACCCCACGCTGTCTCATCAGCAACGGTGGGAAACATTTCATTAACCGCCAACTTGAGAGATTATTGGAGAAATATGGGGTAAGACACAAGGTTGCAACCCCATATCTTCCACAGACCAGTGGTCTCATTGAAGTCTCAAACCAAGAGGTTAAGAGGATTTTAGAGAAGGTAGTCAATCCTTCTCGAAAAGACTGGTCTCTCAAGTTAGATGAAGCATTATGGGCTTACAGAACTGCATATAGAACACCTTTAGGATGTTCTCCATACAGACTGATATTTGGCAAAGCATGCCACCTTCCCCTCGAGCTGGAACACAAAGCTTACTAGGCAGTCTATGCCCTCAACATGGATGAAAAGACAGCAGGAGAAAATAGAATGCTACAACTTGAAGAGTTAGAAGAATTCAGAGGAAACACATATGAGAATCATAAATTATACAAAGAAAAAATGAAGAAGTGGCACGATAAAAGGATCAGAAACAGAGATCTAAAAATTGGCCAGAAAGTGTTACTCTTCAATTCCAGACTCAGACTGTTTCCGGGAAAACTCAAATCAAGATGGACTGGGCCATACCAAATTATAAATGATGCAGGAAATGGAGCTTTTGAGATCCAACGATCTGAACATGGTCGTTCCTTCAAAGTGAATGGACACAGGTTAAAACTTTACAATGATGAAACCTTTGATGAAATAGAGGAAACTATCCCTCTTTCTGACTGGGAGGCAATCCAGTAAATACATTTGCTCTCTACCAAGAGCAAAGTTTTGGGGTGGTTAATCTTGACCACATATCTCCCAAAAGGGGGGAACGTCTGATGTTCCACTCTAAAGTCCAAATAAAGTACGTTCCGTTCCAGGAACGTAGTTTTGGGGTGGTTACTAACCACACTATCCCAATATGAAAAAAAAATTTATTTTATCTCCCTTTCCGTTCCCTTGTAAATATTAACTTTTTGCAATGAAAAAAAATCTTTTTTTGATCAAACTGCTTGGTACATACATTTCAGTTATAGTATTAAGGCTGTACAATTTTGAATAGCCAATACCATGAAACACAAAGTCAGTAATTAATCATTCTTATTCTTTCTCTGAATGCTTGAAATAGGAAGAGTGCAGAGAATTTAATCCTCAGATTTTTGAGGGATGCTGATCTGTGTGAACTAAAGCTGGTAAGGAACGAAATAAAGCCAAACACTTACTTATGAGAGTGTTCCTGAGGTGTAACCACAATGAAACTTCTAAACTTTCCTTGATGCTGTAAGTACTGCTGAAGAACAGATGGATTTCACTAACAAGGATCAAACAAAACCATACACTCACTTCCATTCCATCCATAGTCACCAAACACATCACCAGGTCAATCAGAAAGGGGCAAGGAACAGATCCAAAAATTAACAAAAAGGACAGAAGAAAGAAAAGCAAATAAAATGGAACAACCATTCAAAAGAATTCAGAAGAAAACACCAGAAAACCTTCCTTCATGGGAAGAAAAGGTGAAAAAAGAAAAGGTGTTCCCTTAAACAGAAAATTCCAGTTCAAAAGCATCAAAAGTAAACGTTCCTTGACCGCATACTTATGACCACCAATCTTCCACACCTCCATAAACCCTCTCTCAAAAGATCCTTGGAAGGGAAGACATCTGCATTTCATAGGAAAACAGCAGAAAAAAAAGTTCTGAAGAATCACATCAAGGAATGGACAGAGAAACACCAAGCCCTGAGTGATAGCGAGACAGAAGATCAGCAACCATCACTTACCTTGGAACAAATTCTTTCTACTTGTCACCTATGCAAAGTAATTCATTTCTTTGAAAAGATTATGATTGCTCACTGGCTCAAGTTTTTAATGTTGAGCTATTCTTTGAAATTGAGCAGCCTAAACATTATTTCTGAGTTGTTTGAGGACAACCAACAGTTTAGTTTTGGGGTGTTTGATGGGACGTAAATTCGTTCCCATCTAAGCCCATTTTGATGGCAAAATACCATCTTTTCCCTCATCTGATGAGCAACTTCAGCATGAAAATCACTTTTTTCACACATTTGTGACAAAAACACAGTGGTAGAATGGATGATGACGTAATCCTTTGAAAATATAGTAAAAGGGGAACGAATTAAGATCATTTATTACACCTGCTCCCTTCATTTAATGCTTCTGTTCATTTTGCAGGAAACGTGGAAACAACGTCTTCTAAAAGCAAAGACGGTGCACCATTTAAGCACCAAGAAACGTGAACAGCAGACAATCAAGAGTTCTCATTGGCTAAGAAGAAAGCAAGGCATGGGGGACTGCAAGAAAACGGCTAATCATCAACAATAACTGACCCATCAAGCAAGTTGCAAGCTTCCAAACACTGTTGCCACCACCCCATCCCTTCAGTCAAGAAACCAACTCCAAAGGATTTTACGAGACTGCCACTCCCTCTTCTGCCTATAAAAAGGACGTCCCAAACACGAAGACATCATTGAATTCCATAGGAATAAAATTCCTAAAGAAGAGATCACCTAAATATTAGCTAGTAGTTTAATTTTGTATAGTTGTAGCTATAGATGAGTGACAACTCTTCTACGTTGTTCTGTAACATTCACTTGAGACTCCTCACGAGCATCAACCATCTTCTCCATTTTATATTTTGTTGTAATCTTTCTTGTTTCATTTCAATATAAGTGTTTCTTTTTTCCTTTCTACTCGTTATCTCTGAACTGAATCTCGGGTCTATGGGACTTCAGTTTAGAATAATTATGTTTAAAGTATCAGCCATGGGTTGCAATATCTGTGGGACGGATAAGCTATAAAACTCTTAAAGAATTATTTCCAAAACTCTTGACTGAAGCTTTTTGTATTTCTTTGGCTAAGTAAGCTATATTCATTGTGTATCAATGGAAATTGAACACATACTGAGAAAGGAACTTCCTTAAGGAAGGGATTTCAGATAGCTTAGCCATTGGGGGAAGGTAGTGCTTTGGCAAAAATACTATTGGTCACCTTAGGAATAAGGGGCCACTTGGTCCAATTTAAGGTTCTGTACTGAGTACCTGTTGGAGTCAAGGGAGCCATAGGAATATGGAAACTTGTGAGCCATCTAGTCCATGAGCAGAGGAATCAGAGTTGGCAGATAAGAATGGAGCAGTGAATCCGTTCCTTCTGTTAAACTGTTTTTAAAACCATCCACCTTGTTGTCTCTTGCTTATAGTTATTACTGTTTTACTTTTACTTTGTTTAATCTTGTATCTATCAAACTCCAATGATTATTATCACACCTTCTTTTAAACAGGAAGGATCACATATATAACGCAGCGAGCAATTGTTTGCCATCAGACTGAACTTACTATTCCTGAGGAACGTTGTCAAGACAGTAGGGAACGTCTGACCAGACAGTTCAATCACTAACTTTTCTTTTCATTTCCATTCTTATAAAATAGTTTAAGACAATATTTAGAGTTCTATCCTCGTGGGAACGATAATCTGGGCATTAATACACCCATTATTACTTGATGCGTGCACTTGTGCACTTGGGTTGGAAGTAAGGGAACAACTTTGTTTTCTGTTGCTAATTTAGAACAGAGGAACGTCCCCCAACAGAATATATATTTTTCCACCATCAGCAAACCACCCAACATGAGCCATACCCAACATTCTTCCACTTGGTGAATGCTTCGCATGTTTCTTCAATCCCAATGCAGTTGTACACCATTCAAACTTCTCTAAAGTCACTGCCTTGGTCAGAAAATCAGCATTGTTGACCTTTGTGTCAACCTTCTCCAGCAATACAACCTTGTCTTCAATCTTCTCTCTGATGAAGTGGTACTGTATGCCGATATGCTTGGTCCTTGCATGGAAACCTGGGTTCTTAGCCAAGAAAATGGCGCTTTGACTATCACACCCAACGATCATCTCTCCTTGTGCAAAGCCAAGCTCTTTGCACAACCTCCGTAACCAAATAACCTCCTTAACAGCATGTGTCAAGGCCATGCACTCAGCCTCTGTAGTAGATAAAGCAACAGTGCTCTGCCTCTTACTCATCCAACTGATAGCTCCGCCGAATGATGAAACAATATATCCACTTGTAGACCTTCTACTATCAATGTCACCTCCCTAATCAGAATCCACAAAACATCTCAGTTCTAATAATGTCTCTCTCCTTGAGCCCTTCACGCCTTCATAGCATAACCCAAGGTCAGACGTACCATGAAGATAGCGGAACACACGCTTCACAACCGTCCAATGCTCATTTCCTGGCTTGGATATATATCTGCTCAATACTCCCACTGCTTGAACAATATCAGGTCGAGTACAAATCATGGCATACATCAGACTCCCAACTGCACTAGCATAAGGAACTGACGCCATCTCCTCTTTTTCTTCTTCAATCTTGGGACACTGGTCAGCCGATAACTTAGAACCAGTAGACATAGGAGTCAACATAGGCTTGCAGTCAGTCATCTTGAATTTCTTCAGAACTTCCTCTATATAATTCCGCTGACTTAACCATAATCTTCCTTTGTCACGCTCCCTCTTAATCTGCATACCCAAGATCACATTTGCAGCGCCTAGATCTTTCATTTCAAACTGCTTTGCTAGCAGTCCTTTAATAGTGCTGATCATCTTCAAATTGTTTTCAACGAGTAACATGTCGTCAACATACAAAGTTAGAATAACAAAGTCACCTTCTAACTTTTTCACATAAACACAGTGATCAGCATCACAGCGGTCAAAGCCAAGCTTCACCGCATAAGTGTCGAACTTCATGTACCACATCCTCGGGGACTGCTTCAGGCCATACAGAGATTTATTCAGCTTGCAGACTAGCTCCTATTTGCCTCTTGCAATGAACCCCTCTGGTTGCTTCATGAAAATAACCTCCTCCAAATCACCATGAAAGAAAGTCGTCTTCACATCCAGCTGCTCCACCTTTAGGTCATATGCAGCTGCTACAGACAAAACTATTCTTATGGAATTTAACTTTGCAACAGGTGAAAATACCTCACCATAATCAACCCCTTATGTCTGTGAATATCCCTTTGCAACCAATCGAGCCTTGTAGTGCTCAATCTCCCCATTGGCACCAACCTTCTTCTTGAACACCCACTTGCAACCAATTGCTTTTCGGTCTGCAGGTAGATTCACCAAACTCCAAGTTTGATTTTTCATCAGAGATTTCATCTCTTCTTTCATAGCTTCCTCCCACTGTTTGGCATCCTCCGAGTTCGTAGCTTGCCTTACGGTGTTCGGATCATCACCTATAATGCTAAATGCACAAACATCATCACTAGCACACATGATATAATTTTCAAGTGTATACCTCTCAGATGGTCTTCTTTCCCTCGTGGGTCTCCTCAGCACTGGTACTTCATGAAGGTTCGAAAGACTGCACCATAGTCATACTATGGTGCGCATACATGTGTGGAAAACAAAAAAATTTCGCAGCGGAAGCATAGACCATCTATACACCCCATGTATGAATGCTTTACGTTGAAACGATAGGGTTTCAAAATTAGCTTTACACTTGTAGGCGCAAAAAGATGACGCCCTCCAATGGTGATCCACACGATTATCTCCTTCTTGCTAGCGAGAACTCTTTCTCCTTGATCCCTCCTTATCCTCGGTGGCTGGCTAGGTGCATGCAAGGAAGAGGCTACCAAATGTTTGGATTATTTTTCTCAAGACTATAATGGTGTCTTGAGGTTAGGTGATGGTGCAACAAGAGAGAGAGAAGGAAAGGTTGGTCCTTTCCTCAG